TCTCCCTTGATGGTGGCAAGGAATGCAAATTCTTGGGCCTTCTTCAGGCAGATTAACAGGAGGCTGGATCACAGCAGGAGGCAAGACTTGATGCCTGGTACTTCAGTATCAGATGTAGACATGCATTCCGAATAGAGGCTTGACCCACTATACTACACAATCTGCACCCTCTCCCCATTTTTTCAGAACTACTTATTCATTTATCAGTGACTATAATTAATTCTCCAGGAAGATGTGAATAATTGAAGGAACTATAAATAGCTACACCTATGTTTTCTTTTTATTGTTTTTATTAGCCCTATTGCGGGTAATTGGTGTATGTTATATATATTAATTAAAGTCTCTAGAAAATTTGCCAAACATGACAAGTATCAGAATCATGATTCTAACCCAAGTATATATCAATTTCAAAGCCTATAAATTTTCTACATCTTGAAGCTAACTTGAGAGTGAAGAGCCTTAAAGCTTTTGTTGCCCACTTGTAAGTTTATTTCCACTAGACTGCAGGATTTTCACTGCTATAGTTCAGATCATGTATAATTCAGTACTTGTGCAGAAGAAAACCATTGGTTATCCAAGAGAAGTCTGAGTCCTGGTGTAGTAATTTCATATCACAGAATTTTGCCTTACTTGACGATGTTGAAAAAAAATGGTTTTTTAATAGCAGATACACTTTTCCAATTGTGTTTTCTTGGTGCATATTGACATGTTGCCATTTCTTGAGTACTGACCAGCTGGTTATGGGCACTGGCTTTTTTGAGAAGGGGAGATTGTCTTGCTATTGAAAACTTGATTCCTGGTCATGTCTAGCCTGATGATATGGAGTTAACTCCATTTGCATCTGCCTGCCCAAGGCACTTGGAGAACATAAATGCCAAAGTACCAAGGTGTTAGAAATCCACACCCGGCCCAGGTCCACCATTTACTGGCCATCTGGAATCCAGTTTCCATTAGGAGTCCAGGGGAAAGTCTGGAATGTGCTGTCAGTGGATGCATTCGACAGTTTCAAGGTGGTCTGGCTCTTTGAGCTCCTTTGAGAAGCAGGAACAATACTCAAGTGATTGTAAGTGGAGAGAGGCACAGTGGCTGTTTTCAATCATTCTTGGCTGTGCCCTGAATTTCTGGTTCTTTCAGAAAGCCTGAAAATTGAGACTCTAAGAGCATTGGAGGATGGTATCAGAGCCCTGCAAAGTTCCTTTTATTTGTCATTTCTGCTTCCTTTCCTGTTCTAACCTCTCTTCGGCTGTGTCCTTAAAGTTTGCATCTTAGTACCCAAGATTTTACATGAGTAAAAGAGAAAAGAGTTACATGGAAAGTCCAAAGTTTGGATTAGAAAACCTGTTGAGTCAGAGGAGGAACTTAGCAGAGAAACGGAATGGAAATCATTTCCTTAGACACTAGACAAGTATTCAGGAAACACCTCTGCACCCCAAAGATAGGCACAGCTGCCACACAGTGACTATTAAAGGGAGGTTCAAAGTTATAAGCAAACAGCTGATTCTCTGGGTTCTTGGGCTGTTGCTGTTGGTGACAGGAAATCTTGTTCCCCAAGCTGCTGGCTTCCTGTTTTATTTTTACTGCAGCCGAGCAGAATGTCCATAACAAGGAGCAGTCTGTTCTGAAGGTTCCACCCCCCTTGAGCCTGCAGGGTTGCTGCTTTTATTCCTCTTGGCTCCTCAGCCCTTTGCTGTTGTTGTTGTTATTGTTGTTTCACCTTTCAGATCTGTGGTGTTTTCTCATGTTTAGTTTGGTTTAAACGTTTTCTATGTACAATCAGCTTTTTGGCGATGAGCTGATGTTTTTGCTTTTTTTTATCTTTAGGAATTAATAATATTGGGGACCTGGATGTGTTACCTTTATGCTTTAACTTTTCATGTAAAGTGAATTGTGAATTTGCCATTTTCCCAAGCACAAAAACCATTAGGTCACATCAGACTTACTTAGGTTCACAAGCTAAGGAAACGGAATAAACCCAGTGTGCCAATCCAGTTTTTAGAGGTTGAAACCTTAGTGGACTGGCTGCTAGCCTAGTAGTTGAGCCGGCATCGATGCTTCCTGCTCATGTGGACCCCAGGCAGCAATGGTGATGAGGTTTCTGCTACCTCAGTGGAGTCCTGGACAAAGCTCCCAAGCCCCTGGCCAAACCTGGCCCAACCTGGCCCAACCTGGCCCGTCACCTACTGCTACAGTGTTTGGGTACTGAGCCAGAGGAGGAGAGCATTCGATTGATCATTCACTTGCTCTGTCTCCCTCTCCAGCACTCTTTCTGAAATAAAATAAATAAATGTTATTTTTTTAAAAGCCCCGCTTTCATCAGAAAGCTAGGAGTTCAGTAAATCTAAAACAGCTCAGCATGAGCTTGAAGGGCTGGAGGATTTCCCAGGGAAAGGGCCTCAGCAATCCACCGGAAAAGAAACAGTAAGTAGGAAAGTTCCCGGATCAGCTCCAGACACTTCCTGCTGTCTTGCAAGCACCTATATTTGAACCAAGTGGGAAGAGGATGGGGAGCTTTTGAGCAGAAGAGAGAGGACAGGTTATCTTGGAGCAGTTTGTTCAGCCTCAGGTGTGACATACTGAGCATGTAAAAGTGTTCTTAATAGTTTGTTAGTAGTATTAATAGCTACTAGCAGCTAGTATCTAGTTGTACATTAACAGTCACCCATTCAGGGAAGATCTGAAAGGGTTAAGTCTTGATATATACCAATGGAATTACTATTGGCCCCTTAATTTCCATGTGAAACATTATCAAATGACAGAAACTCTTTTTTTATTTTAAGATTTTTATTTACTTATTGGAAAGCCAGATATACAGAGTGGAGGAGAGACAGAAAGGAAGATCCTCCGTCCGATGATTCACTCCCCAAGTGAGCGCAACAGCCGATGCTATGCCGATCCGAAGCCAGGATCCAGGAACCTCTTCCGGGTCTCCCACACAGGTGCAGGGTCCCAAGGCCCTGGGCCATCCTCGACTGCTTTCCCAGGCCACAAGCAGGGAACTGAATGGGAAGCGGAGCTGCCAGGATCAGAACCGGTGCCCATATGGGATCCCAGTGTGTTCAAGGCAAGGACCTTAGCCGCTAGGCCACACCACCAGGCCCAGAAGCTCTTTTTTAAATAAATGTTTAAAATGTATTTGAAAGGCAAAGAAAGATCTTCCATCTGCTGATTTACTTCCCAAATGACTGCAGTGGCCAGGGCTGGGCAGGAGGAAGCTAAGAGCCAGGGACTCCATCTTGGTCTCCCATGTAGGTGGCAAAGATGCAAGTATGTGGTCGTCTTCTCCTGTTTTCCTAGGCATAGTAGTAAGGAATGGTTCGGAGATGGAGAATAAAGCAGCCCGCACTTAAGCCAGTGCTCATATGGGATGCCATTTTCTCCAACAATGGCTTAACTAGCTGTGCCAAAAAAAAAAAAGTTTTTTTTTTCTCTGCCTTAATTAGTTGCTTGGAATATGGGTATGGATACCTCGGATAGGATCTCTTTCTGCCTAGTGAAATGACCACATCTCCTTGTCTTTAGGAAGTCTTGTTGGTTGGAGCAGTGGTTGTCACTTTAAAATTTTAGGCTACTATGTAATTCATTCAGCAGTTACAATTCAGAAATTCTAAACTGATGGAACCTGTCTTTTGATGGCAAACCTTAAAAAGGAAGGGGGGTTGTAATGAGAAAAGAAGGAGTTGAAGTGTTTATTTTTAAAGCTGTTTCATGTATTTTTTATTTTTAAAAAGATTTTTTATTTGAAAGGCAGATTTCACAGAGAGCGAAGGAGAGATAGAGAGGGGGGGTCTTCCATCCACTGGCTCACTCCACCACAGTGGCTGGAACTGAGCCGATCTGGAGCCTGGAGATAGGAGTTCTTTCCGCATCTCCCATAGAAGTGCAGGGTCCCAAAGACTTGGGCCATCTTCCACCATTCTCCCCAGGCTACAGCAGAGTTGACTCAGAAGTGGAGTAGCTAGGACATGAACTGGTACCCATATGGGATGCTGGCCCCTGTCTATTCATTTAAAAATGATTTATTTGGGGCTTGGCGTGGTAGCCTAGCAGCTAAAGTCCTCGCCTTGAACACGCCAGGATCCCATATGGGTGCCCGGTTCTAATCCCGGCAGCCCTGCTTTCGATCCAGCTTCCTGCTTGTCGGCTGGGGAAAGCAATCAGACAGCCCAAAGCCTTGGATTCCTGCACCCATGTGGGAGACCTGCAAGATCGGCTCAGCTGCAGTTGTTGCCGTCACTTGGGGAGTGAATCATCGGACGGAAGCTCTTCCTCACTGTCTCTCCTCCTCTCTCTATGTGTCTGACTTTGCAATAAAAATAAATCAATCTTTTTTAAAAAATGATTTATTTATGTGAAAGGTGGGGTTACAGGGATAAAGGTACAGAGAAAGAGGTCTTCCATTCACAGTTCAGGCTGTAGTGGTTGGGATTGGGTTGGGTCTTTGTTTTTGTTTTTAAATTTGTAAAGTCAGATATATAGAGAAAAGAAGAGGCAGAAGGATCTTCCATCTAATGACTCACTGCCCAAGTGGCTGCAGGTCCCAAGACTTTGGGCTGTCCTCAACTGCTTTCCCAGGCCACAAGCAGGGAGATGGATGGGAAGGGGGGCCACTGGGACATGAATGGGTATCCGTATGGGATCCTGGTGACATGTGCATGCAAGGCAAGGACTTTCACCACTAGCCTACCGCACTGGGCCCTGGGCTGAGTCTTCTATGTGGGTGGCAAGAGCTCGAGTACTTGGTTTTGGCTTCCATTGTTTTCCTAGGTGTGTTAGCAGGGATTTGAATCAGAAGTAGAACAGTTAGGACTCGAGCCAGTACTCATGTGATGCTGGTGTTGCAGGGCTTGGGAAGGAGCCAGGGAGTACTTAACTCCCTATGCCACAATGCTGGCCCCTTTAAACCATTTTATATGAGAGCAAGATGAAAAAAAAAAAAAAGACAACCCTAGTGTGCCTGGAATTTGTGGTTGAGTAATACTTTCCTGTTATTTCTTTTTGAGGTTGTTTTTCATCGTTCTGCACATCGCCTGAAGCAGGTCCACCATGCCATTGGTGACGAGGAACATCGAGCCGAGGCACCTGTGCCGGCAGACGCTGCCCAGAGTGAGAAGCGAGCTGGAATGCATGACCAACATCACCCTGGCAAATGTCATCCGACAGCTGGGCAGCCTGAGTGAGTGCCTCCAAGAGCCTGTGCTTTGCCCTCAGGGGTCGTTGGTGCTCTTTATTTAGTTCCTTTTCCTCCCACAGTCCTATTTCTCCCCCATATGCCTTCCCTAGGTAATGCAAACTGCATCCCACCCCTCCCCAAAGAAAGGCTCCTCTCTGTGCAGATTCTCCCTTCCCTCCTTTCTTTATCTATCACCACCCTCTAGGTTCCCTCCCCCTCCCCCTCCACCTGCTTCAAAAGAAATCTGTGGGAAGGGTGGCAGGAAGGGCTGCAGCAAAAACTGCAGATGGAATGACAGAGCAGAATTCTGTGTGTGTAAAGTGGGAGGTTCACAGAGCAGTATCTTGGGTCGGGGAATGTGCCTGTAATTACATGAGCTGTTCCATGTAGCCTGACTTGGTGGAAGCCTCAAATGTGCCAATAGTCTTTATCTCCCCAACACCCTCCCCTTCTCTTTCCAAAGAAGAGTAAACCAAACACGCAGAGAGCTTCTGGCTGGTTTGTCCACCCTGCTATACATTTAATTGTGCTGCAAGCCCCCAGGTCCAAGTTCAGGGTACAAATTACTTCCACAGTCTCAAGGGTATTGGGAGTTTTGCAAGCTGCCTGAACACACAGTGACACAAATAGTAGTTGGAACCATTCTTTTCTAGGAGGAAGATGGGGGTTAGCCCAGTCTGTTTTGGAGCTGACGGAAGAAAAGCCAGCTCAACTGTGCTTTTTTTTTTTTTTTTTTTTTTTTTTAATTGGCAAGAATGAATGAGCTGCCTTGGGTGGGGTGCATGCATGTGGTTTGGATTTCATTCTGAATCGAGCTGACTTTGTTTGCTTGAAGCGGAGATCTCTGAGAAGGGCAGCTGCATGGATTGTCTCTGCACTTGTCTCGTGCCACTCCAGCTCCCATAAGAACCTCTGTCAGAATCCAGTGTCGTGATCTACCTTAGCGAAGGCATCTTGGTGTGAATTATGTCAGACACTCACCCCTCCTGTCGCATCACTGCCCTTAGTGAAGGCAGTGGAATGTAAAGAAAGCCTGCATTCCCCCCAGATAGTCATAGGCCCTGGCTTTCACCAGGAGCCTGAGGAGACACTGCTCTGCGGCCCAGTGATAGATGGAGTCTGAGATTCCAAAGCCCTCACCCAGCTCAGGGACCATCTTGGTTGATCCAGGGCTTAGGGAAACCTGGATGAGCGTCACAAAGAAGCGAAGCCCTGCCAGTGCCTGCTGCACACAAAGGAACACTGACAGCAGCGCAGCTGACAAGGAAGCACTCGAGGGCTGCGAGAGCCCCACCTCACTGCTGCAGAAATCATCGTCCCCACTCACGTTGCCCCGAGAAGACCAAGCGGGTAGGAGGCAGTCTTACACAGGCTCCTTCCACTAGACAACATGCGTTCAGCTCCTGGTTCTCTCCTCACACGGCAGGAGCGTCCCTCACTAGCAGGCATTTCTCCAAGACATGCTGGGTGGATGCTACTGCTGGCCCTCCCACCTGTGATGAGCCTGCACCAGTGTTGGTGGAAGCTCATTTGAGGGCTGGGGTTGGCTTGTGCCCCAGGAAACAACATTTCCTCACATTGTGTGGCTATCTAACCCTCTGTGTGTCCAGTAGCACCATTCTAGTGTATTTTGTGAACTGGATGCTAAGATCCAGGGGGTAATAAATGATCGCTGCCTTCTAGGAGCTCTGAAATGCATAATAGTTAAGGGGAGAAAGGCGTGAAAAGGGAACTCCCATCTGTCTTTTGTCTGTTAGGACAGGTTCTGATAGAAACTTGGCATAAATTATCGCACTTGTTCATCCCAGTAATCCTATGAGGATAGAGGATGGTATTCCCATTTTTCAGATGAAGAGATGAAAGTTCAGGAAATTAAGATAACTTGCCTAAAGACACACAGCCTGAAGGAAGCAAGCAAGCACAGTTGTTTTTTGTTTTGTTTTAACGATTTATTTACTTGCAAGGTAAAGTTCAGAGAGAGGAGAGAGTCAGAGAAAGAGAGATGTTTCATCTGCTAATTTACTCCCCAAATGACCCCAACGTCCAGGGCCAAAACCAAGAATCCAGAATGGCAGGAGCCTGAGCATTTAGGCTTTCCCAGGCACATTGTCAGGGAGCTGGATCTTAAGCCTGGACTAGCCCCAGCTGTGTTACAGCTACTTGGGGAGTAAAGCAGCAAAAATGAAAGTTTCTCTCTCAGGATCTTCTAGCCCCTGGGCCCAGCATGGTAGCTTAGTGGCTAAAGTCCTTGCCTTGCACACACCGGGATCCCATATGGGTGCGCTGGTTGATGTCCTGAAGCCCCGCTTCCCATCCAGCTCCCTGCTTGTGGCCTGGGAACACAGTTGAAGACGGCCCGAAGCCTTGGGATGCTGCATCTGTAGGAGACCTGGAAGAATCTCCAGGCTCCTGGCTTCAGATCAGCTCAGCTCCAGCCACTGTAGCCACTTGGGGAGTGAGCTAGTGCGCGGCAAATCTTTCTCTCTGTATCTCCTTCTCTCAGAAGCTCTGCCTTTCCAATAAAAATGATTAAGTCTAAAATAAATCTTTAAAAAATGAAAAAAGGGAGCTGGTCCTATGATGTATGAGGTTAAAGCTTCACCTGCACCCACATACGAGGCCCGGAAGAAGCTCCCCGTTCCAGCTGCAGGCTGGCACAGCTCTGACCCTTGCAGCCATGCGGAGAGTAAAACAGTGGATGGAAGATATCTCTTTCCCTCCCTCTCTCTAATTCTTCTAAGTAAAATAAATTCTTAAAAAGTAAAATCAAAACAACCTCAGACTTGTGTATTGCCATTGTCCCTTGCTTTGAGTCTCTGCCAACAGTGCCCTCATTTAGAGCTTTGACGTTCACCTGAACTATTGCCCAGGCTTCCCTCTGGCCTCCTCTCTAATCCAACCTGAGTTCTGTCCTCTCTACCCCTTCCAGAATGATCTCCCTAAAATGTAAATTTTACTTTTTTCCTTTTATAATTCTGAATTGGTTAAGTCTGGGTTAAATTTCGGATTTTAACACACTTGTAAACTAGGAATACAAAGCTTAACAGTTTATTTCACCTGTTCCTCTGGAATATCCAAGTTCTTTAGCCAAGTAGTCAGCACCTTCTTCTCGAAGAACACAAGACTGTTGAACGAAGTCTTCTCAAAGGGTGCCAGCCTCCTTTCCTGCAGTCTGTCTTCCTCCATTTTGCAGCCATGCCATTTAAAACAAAGAGAGAAAGAAAGGAAGAGAATAAAGAATAATTTACCAATTACTAAGATTCTGAGATAGGCTTGCTCCCCCATACTTCCACATAGGGTTCTTGCTGCCCTGCCCCCGGCTGGACAACCCTGGCCTTCCTTGTCTGCCTGGCTCCCCATATCTTATCCTTCAGACTTAGCTCAGGGCCTCCTCCCCAGGTTGGCTTAAGTGCTCCTCTGAGCTCCCACTGTAGGCTTTTATTATTAACTATCAGAGGTTGCAAATTATCTGTCTCTTAAAGTAAATCCAAGGGTCTTTGGAAGCAGAACTCATGTGCTGTTCATCCTTGAACCCCATTGTCTGCCTTGTTTGGTCCCTCCCACCAGTGAAGGTTTGTTGAACAATTCACCATATGTATCTCTCCCGTTCCATGCTGTTGGTGCCCAGAGGATAGAGCAGAGGAAGGAATACTTTCTGTGGGGAGGGAGGGTGCAGGTGGGGATCGAGAGGGTCAAGGAAGCCTTCACAGAAGAGGTTACATTTGAACTGGGCCTTGAAAGATGACTGTGATTTCATCTGGCAGAGTGTGCAGAGATGGGCTCTGTGTTCTTCAGGCCCTGACCTTGGCCTTGTGTGCATTGTACTCTAGCCAGAAGTGCTCAGTGTGGGAGTGGAAGTCTAATTATGGAATAGATAAAACACAAAACTTAAAAATTCCTCAGCCATAGCTTCCTCCATGACAGTACATCCAGAATTTTTATTTTCCTTCTGTCCTGTAACACTGCGTTTCACATCCTAGGCTGCCATGTCTTAGGAATACAGGTGCAGCTAGCACTTTTGAGCAGCACTGTGGCCACCCACAAGGAAAAAATGTCATTTGGAAATTGTACCGGAACACCCATTGCGTGGGCCAGGGAGCTCTGGGACTCCCACTCAGGCTGTGACAGGGGCAACTCCCCATTTCAAAAAATCAGTTTTACTTTCATGTAACATCTAGTTTGAAGAGTTCTGCTAAGGGAAAAAAAAAATGAAGACTACTCTGGAATCTTGTGCAAAATGCAATACCTGTTGTGAATGTCTTCATATATGGTATGAATGAATAGAATTTAAATGTTAGCAAGGACTTTGATTTTTTCCAAGTCTCATACTTCTCTTTTCAGAATTGGAGTAATTTTTTGCACTTGAAGAATAGGGACTATCAAATAACTGGTTAAAATTGTGTTGAAAATTTCCTCTGAGCATAACAGGGAGCATATGAACTGTTGATGTGGTATAGTAGGCCTGTAGCACCAGCATTGCACTTGAGTTTGTATCCCGGCTGCTCCACGTACCATTTAATTCCCTGCTCATAGCCTGGGATAGCTCAAGTTCTTGGACTCCTGTATCCGTGTGTGAGACCTGGGGAAAAGCTCCTGGCTTTTAGCTTTAGATCGACTCAGCTCTGGGCACAGAAGCATTTGGGTAGTGAACCAGCAGATGGAAGATCTCTTTCTTTGTCTCTTTCCTCTCAGTAACTCTGCCTTTCAAATAAAAATTTTAAATTTAAAACTATTTTTAAAAAAAGAATATAGATATTCACAGTCTTTAAAATCATTTGTAACATGGTGGGTTAGTTGTCCACACTTTACAGATGGGGAAACTGAGGCTTGGACATTTTGGCTTGCTGAGTATATGGAACTAAATAGTTGGGACTCACACCAAATTTGCTAATATGAAGTCCGCTGCTCCTTTCATGTCTTATAGTGTCATTCTGAGTCTGCATGAGGTGATATGGCAGGGGGAAGCCTTCAAACCACCTCACTCCTCCTTCCCTCTTCCATAAGACATCTCAAGGTTCCCCTTTTTATTTTTATCTGGTGGGCTGGAATTGTGATTCAATCAATTTAGTTGCTGCATGCAATGGCAGCATCCTACATAAGTGCCAGTTCAAGTCCCAGCTGTTCCACTAGTGGTCTTCCTGCCACTGTGCCTGGGAGAGCAGGGGAAATTGACCCAAGTCCTTGGGCCCCTGCCCACCCACATGGGAGGCCTGGAAGGAGCTCCTCGATCTTGGCTTCTGCTTAGCCCAGCCCTGGCTATAGGGGCCATTGGGGAGCCAGCAAATGGATGATCCATCTGGATGGATGGATGGATGGAGAGAGACAGGAAAAGATCTCTCTCTCTCTCTCTCTCTTTCTCTCTCTCTCTCTCTCTCTCTCTCTCTCTCTCTCTCTCTCCCTCCCCAACTCTACTTTTCAAATAAATAGAAGATTTTATCTGGAAAACCACCATGCTAACCTCCACAACTCCCACTACCAATGTTCCCTTCACGAAGGATTGGGAAACCCTGCTACTCTTGGTGACCTCAGGGTCAATTTTCTTTTTCTTGGGAATAGATATATATTTTGGAATCTGTTTTTTTTTTTTTTTCTTCCCACACATACCTTTCTCTAGTTTAGCCTGGATGAGCATGAATCCAGTGAAGATGAGCATGATACTTTGTGGTTTAGAGAAACTTGGGCTATCCTGGACAGGGCTCAGGTTGGCTCTCCAAGCTGCGGAATGGAGGTGAGGCTCCAGCGTGAGACCTCTGAGCTGAGGTGCTCCCCTCCCCTCCCATAGTTGTTCCCTCACAAAACCCTTCAGGGTGCAGAGGCTTGCCCCTTCCTTGATTAGGAACTCCTTCTTGACGTCCATTTCCTAGCAAACCAAACCATGCAGTTGACTGGCCTTATCCTTCCTCTCCAGGTTGTCCTGGGGTGGGGGGCGGGGTGGAACTGCAGCCACCTGCAGGTTCTGCTCTGACTTCTCAGGAGACACCTTGCTCCTCGGATATAGACTGAACCTAAATGTAGTTTATAAGCTAAAATTGAGAGCTTGCCAAAGTCGGTCTCCAAAAAGTTAGGTTTTGGTTAGGCTGGGTTGTTTCTGCCCACCTTTACCTTTCAAGCCAGAAGCTGGTTGGCATCTTTATTCTTATGCACTGCCTTTCATTCCCAGGAAGAGTATGCCTCGTGGCTTGGAATGACAGTATGGAGGTTGTGTCAGATTGCTGTTAGGTTTCTTTGGCTGCAAGTTCTGCTTGCATTCTAGAGTTGAAAGCACAGAACTCTTTTTTTTCTAAAAGACAGTTTCTAAGACATTGTGGAAAGAGATGGCTGGTATGTTGTTTTGCAGGGAGGGCTTAAAATGTGAGCTTTTCATTTGTTCCCTGAGATGTAGATTTGAAGGGTTGTAACCTAGAGCAAAAACTTTGAAAGTTGTAGTTTATAAAACATAAAAAAGTAACCTTTCACCCCTTCAGAGAAGTTACACATATCTGCGTGTGGCTTGTTGGTAAATTCAGGCGCCCTGGAAGATACCATGACTCCTGAGAGTTGTCCCTTGTACTTTTATAGTCCCATTGCAGAAGACAGTTCTTTATCATGTTAATAGCAGTTACCTAGAAGGTCCTCTTAACTTCCCGTGTGTTTTTCAGAACCATTTTACAAGGTGCTTTTGCATAAACCAGAGGCTGAGTGCTATGAGCAAATATCCAGCGTTAATTTTTTTTGCATTACACCTTTCAGCTTTATTCAGCCTGTTTTGAGTTTCGTGACTGTTCAGAGTTGGCCAAGAAGGCTGTACTCTCTACAGAACATATGCAGATGGCCCAGGCTCTGGAGAGTGTCTTCATCTCTCAGAGCAAGCATCTGCTTGTGGCGCAGAATATCCTAGCGGGGGTAGAGGGGTGGGAGTAGGGTGGTTCGTGCCTGACCATTTCTGTCCCTTCTGTGCACTGGTGACTTGGTTCCTTTGTTCTTTGCAGGTAAATATGCAGAGGACATTTTTGGAGAGCTCTTCACTCAGGCGAAAACCTTTGCTTCTCGGGTAAGCTCCCTTGCCGAGCGGGTCGACCGACTACAAGTTAAAGTCACTCAGCTGGATCCCAAGGAAGAAGAAGGTAAGGAAGCTGAGCTCAGCATTTGCAGGCTCTACTGAGCAGTTCCTGAGAAATGTTCCCCCATTTGTAAAAAAGCAAGGGGGGAATCACAGAGACCTATGGAGTTCTGCTTTGAAATGACACACGCCTGGGAGGTGTAAAGACACCTTTTAACTCTACCTCACCCCACATGCTCCCTTTCCCCAAAACCCCCAGTTTCCTGGCGCTCAACTTTCCTTTCTCAATTGTATTTTGCTACCATAAAAGTACTTGGAAGATTCCTTCCTCTTAAGGAGAGGCCTGCTCTATCTGGCCACATAGTAAACCTTTGTGTTCCCTCATTTTGTTCAGTCTTGAAATGGCTGGGCTGCTGACAGCCTTGTGGGGCTTCCCCAGAGGGGAAGGGAAAAAAAAAAAAAACCTGGCTGCAGACAGCCGCAGCCGAGAAATGCAGCAGCTGAGGCCTCTCCGACTGATGTGACTCAGTGTTTGCTCAGCCTGCCGTCCATTTTCTAATGCCTTGCCTCTTCTCCCAGTGTCGCTGCAAGGAATCAACTCCCGAAAGGCCTTCCGAAGCTCTACTGTTCAAGACCAGAAGCTTTTTGACCGAAACTCCCTCCCAGTGCCGGTCTTAGAAACATACAATACCTGTGATACTCCTCCCCCTCTCAACAATCTCACTCCGTACAGGTAATGGCTGGCTAGCTCCTTCCCTTTTCCAGCCTGTACCAAAAACAACTCTAGACTCTTTTATCTGAAGACGTTGTTTACATCAGAAGATTGTATCACAAAGCGTATTCTCTATCCCAAGGTGGCTTGTGGCAACAGAAGCTAGAGTTTACCCTGTAAACACTTGTCACTTAGTATTGTTTGGCTTCTGAAATTCATAGTGCATATCATGTATACCAAAAGTTTGCTGTAGCACTGCGTCCTATAGAGTTTAATTTGGTATAAGCCAGGTCCAGCTTGGATTCCATCCAAGGTATTTAGTTATTACAGAACCAACAGGACTTTGTTATAAGGCGGTCCTACAGCATGGATCCCAGGGGCAGCATGCTAGTGAGGCCCCCATTTGCTTGGAAACCACTAGGTTACCAGATGTTGGGGCGTGTTAGTCAGGCTTGCCTCATGGACTGGCTGCTCTGGGCCCAGAGGGGCCTTCCAAAGCTTAAGGAGTAACTGGCATTCTTCCAGAGGAGTGTCGTTAGTTCACTGTGTTTTGAACATCCTTTTGACATTTTGTTCTGAAAGGACCTACTTTGCTGTGACTGGACTTGAAAGAAGAGGGTGCCTTATAGACAACCAAAAGTCCCTTCCCTCTGGTGGTTTGGTAGTGTTGTCATGCTGAAAAAACAAATAAACACCGCAGAGGGGTGCATATTTATCTTGCCATCCATAAGTGTCTTTGGAACAGGTAAAAAGTAATTATTGATCGCTGGAGGCAGATGTCTGCTATCAGACATGGCTGTACTGCCAAGCACAAGTGGGTGCACCCCTGTGAAATTCAAGGATGCCAACCTGATTTAGGGACCCGGCAGCTTCTCCCAACATAGATCCAGAGGGAGTTAGTGGCATCTCGCTTTTTCTTTGCTGTGTGAGATTGTGTTTACCCTGCACTTCCCTAGGCACCAGCCAGCAGAGCAGAGTGGAGCTTGGACTCCGCAGCCTCTGTCGTTCAGTCCAGTTGTTTTAGGCAGGGGTGTGAGTCAGGAGAGATCACACAGCCGATCTGTCAGGGAGCACGGTCAAGTACTTGTGTGGCAGGATGGGATAGATGAGTGACATTTAGAGAATTCTGTCTGTTAATGGCATTTTCCTTCATAAATACAATACCAGAATTACCATCTCCTCTCAATAATCTGGAGTTGGACTAACAAAAGCAAGCAAGTGGTGGTGTATCTCATTCAGAGCAAGAGTTAATGTAAAATCACTGCAGTTGGGAAATACTTTCTGTATATTGTGATGGGGTTGGAAAGCCCTTCCAATTATTTTTATTTCAGAATAATACTAAAATAAATGTTCCCCATAAGCCCATGCTTTCCTAGCAGTGGGAGGGGCCTATCCTAGCCAGACTGTGGGATTCCAGCCAGGATGGTTGAGCGACACTTGGTGTACTGTGCACTACTTTCGCAGCTACTAAAAGATGATGATTAAGCCTTGGGGTCCCAGAACAACTGGCCATCTGTTCTCACCAGAGCCCCCTTGTGGTTGGGGGGTGTGGATGCTGAGCTGTTCTGGAAGGGAACAAGAAGGTGGGTGCTGTAGTTATCTGGGTGTGCAGAGGAGTAACAGCGATGCCCACATGAACAGTTTTATATATCAGAAATGCATCTGCATGTGTACACATCCGAGCCTGCCTAAGTATGCCCAGGTTTCAGGTGAGAGAAAGCCCCTGCCTTTCCTAGAGTCCTGGGGAGTGGGGAGGGGAAGGGAAACTAGTGGTAGAAATCCCTCATCTGTGTCAGGCCCTCCAGATAGCTTCCGGGAGATGTCTGTGGTCATGCAAATGTGTAGAAATCATCAGAATTCCTGCTGTTGTAGTCTGCTCTTGCCCTGACCATGCAAATCCCTCCACCAGGAATTGAAAGTAAGGCTAAGGTTCTTAAAAAGCCAAATGAGGAGAGAGATCCTCCCATTCAGGGGCATCTGAGTGTGGTATGGGAAAGGAAATAAGTGATCGATTCGAATGACTCCTTGAGTCCTTGGTGTAACAACTGCTAACTGGCAGGTGTTTGGAATATTGGATGTGGTTGGGAGCTCATCTGTCCACTGACAGCTGCTTGTCTTCATTTCTATCCTAGGGATGATGGGAAAGAGGCACTCAAATTCTACACCAACCCTTCGTACTTCTTTGATCTTTGGAAGGAGAAGATGCTGCAGGACACCAAGGATATCATGAAAGAGAAGAGAAAGCATAGGGTGAGGGGAGAGGGGCCTCTGTTCTGCACATCAGTAGGCATGGTTGTGGAGGGGGATAAAAAGGAAGGCAGCCTTATGTGAAGTAATTCCGGGTGGCTGCTGGCTTGGATGCCAGGTAAAACTCTGAAAAAAATGTGTCCACACCAAGCACCACCAAGATGAAAGTGTAAATCATACCAAAAATGTGTTTGTTCCCCTTAGCACTATTAACAATTGAGTATATTCAGGCTGAGTTTTAGAAATTGGCGTTTCTACCCACCATTTATTTCTCTTGCAATTTGCACCTGACTCTGCTGGACACATGAGTGAGGCTTGTCCTCTCCCTGCCAGTTGTGCAGCTCATTTCTCCGAGATGAGTACTACTTCTCTAGTGTTTGATTAGCAACAGGAGCAGTTTAATACCTTCCCTGCTGGCTGGGCGGGGCCAAGGGGAGGGGAGGTACCTGGGTTTGGGAGATGCCCCTCTCTGCTTGGACTCCTAATGGTGTGTGTGTGACCTGTCAGTTACGACCTCACAATCCCATTAGCATGGCTGCCAGGAGGCCCAGGAGAGCGCCAGAGGCTAGTGCAGTGATACACACTGAAAATTTCCTCACCGTTTTTTTTTTTTTTAACTATTTCCTTGTATCTGTCCCAGATATCTGTACCTGTCATTACTTCTCATCTCTTGACAGACTTGTATGGATGAGCAAATGACAAACAGCTGCTTCCTAACTTCCAAACAATTAGAGCTGTTTAAAACTTGAATGAGTTATGCAGAGAAGTGGTGGGTTGCCAGAGCTAGAGGTGTTTGAGTATGTGACTGAGCAAATATTTTGCCCAGGAGGTAATTTGGGTTAGATGGCCTCTGGGTCACTCCAAACCCAGTCATTCTATAAATTCTCCAGGTACCTTGTATGCTACCTAGGCAGATCAGCTCTGGGGTTCCACGACTGTGAAGATGGGTGGAATTTAATGAACAACTTTGGAAAATGTTTAGCAGAGGCTTTTCTATTCATTTTCATTATAGAAAGAAAAGAAAGATAACCCAAACCGAGGGAATGTAAACCCACGTAAAATCAAGACCCGTAAAGAAGAATGGGAGAAACTGAAGATGGGACAAGAATTTGTGGAATCCAAAGAAAAGGGTTCAGGGTAAGTGATACTTTTGTGTTCTCAGTGACATTTTTTAAAGGGGTTGGGGACAACTGTCTAACAGCTCTGGCACGATGCCTTTCACAGCCCCTGAAGTCTAGCTGTGTAGCTTAAATCAATACCACTATTAATCAGCTACTTTAAAGCACATCCATCCGATGATTAAAATTTGCTAAATAAATCAGGACACTCAGCAATTTAAATGAGGTGAGTGGAGTGGTCTGAAACAGCTCCGTGGCTTCTAGTGCCCTTCCTCTGCCAGCCCCTGGTGTGGCTGAGGGTCTCAGAGCAAGGACTGCAGAGCGAAGCTCAGAGCTCTTGGGAGCCCTTTGCCTCCAGAGCCCTGAGCTGAAGGTCGTGCCTGCAAGCTGGGCATTGCCCGGGAGAGAGGACACAGCCAGGAAGTGAAATTGTGCACATCACCAGAGCAACTCTTCAGCCAGCCTTTGTCGGTCTTGAGAGAGAAGCTGGGCAAGGACTGAATGCAGACCTCGGAGACAGTGTGGGAAAGGCTCCCGGGCCAGTATTGAGGCTATATATCTCTGTAGAGAAACAGGCGATGTCAATTTGACCCCATTTCCTAATACCAAATCATGCTGGAAACTTGAAGGCAGAACATGGTTTTAAAGCTTGGTTTGATGCCTATCCCTGTGTCTGACCTGTGTGATATTCAAAGCCAAGTCACCACGACTGCCTGGCCTGAATGTCGCCTTGGTTTTCCCTCTAAATATGTGGCATCCTGACTGTCAGAAAACCATGCCAGCCAGTGCCAGGTGTCCAGGAATGATAAAAGGAAAGAACTGTGTTCTTGCTTTTAGGAATAACTCTACCATGAAAATCTTGACTTTTAAAAAATCTTGACACTTCTGACACTTGTTCTTTCTGGATTAAGAGATGTTTTAAAGAGTGATGAACATGGGGAGAAGAAAAATGAACCTTTTCCTCTACAGGAGAATCAACCCTAAGGGGACCTGCATTACCTCACTTCCCACTCAAAGGAGCCATTTTGTGCTGTGGTCCCATCCTGCTGGGACAGGCACTTGCAGTCGGCTCAGTGACCCTGAGGTCAGGAGCTTGCATTTTCAGAACACCAACCCTTATGTGTATTTTGTGTGTCTGTGGAATGGGGTTGGGAAAGATGGTTTGGCCTCATGGCTAGTCTATGTGGACATGCCTGCTGGTAAGCCTATAAAGAGATGTGCCAAGCCCACATCGCCAAAGCCTTGGGATTTTCCACATCAGAGTGTCATTCGACTCAGTCTGCTCTCTCCAAGCCTGGTTCCCCATGTCTGTTCTAGAGGAGCTCTTTTAGGACCCAGTGATGGCACAGAGATGATGAGATGGAGCAGAGCAGGCTGTGCTTTCTGGCCAGCACCTGGAATGGGAGGTTTATTGGTGTTCGCTGAGAGGAGAGCACTTCACTCAAGGCTCTGAGGGACAAGTTTTCAGGAGGCAAGCCCTAGCAGGCACCCTGCTTTAATCTGCAGCTCATTTTCTTTGATAAGAGACCTGGCAGAGAGACCACGTTTACTACCACGCAACAACTTGCCTTCATCCTGGGCTTGATTTTGCAATCACATGCCTCTTTGGCCTTTGAGCACTCCAGAGACTTACCAACCTCAAACTCAGGCTGCGTGCTAGTCATGTGTTTGGTGTTCACCCTTTGCCACAAGGTAGACTTGGGATTCAGTTATAACTGCACCTAACATTCGGGATATAAGCTACATCTAACATTCAGGAGAGAATTTAAAAGAACTGAGTTTGAAAAAGGCCAGTCCTGGAGAAGAGAAACATGTTTGATAATCTGGGTTGAATCCCATTACTGCAGACAGTGTGGCAGAAATATCTGGGCGATACTTGACCGCAGGATACCTAGTCCTACAGCAAAATTCAGTATAGGAGAAAATAGTGCATTCTTATTTTATTTCTTCCTAATGATTTTTGTATCAGACATATTTATGTGGTATCTGTTAAGAAGAAAAAAAAAATACTTCCCTTGGGCCTGTGAATGACAAGCTTGGCACTGGGTTTCTCTCCAGGTACTCACCCACCTTGGTGTACCAGAATGGACGTGTGGGCTCGGTTGAAAACATGGATGCAGGCAGCTATCCACCACCACCACCACAGGCTGACTCCACCTCTTCTCCTTCGCCTTCCTTCTCTGAGGACAACTTGCCGCCCCCACCAGCAGAATTCAGGTAATTGTGGTTCCTTTTCATCCGCTGTGAGTAGTTAACCAGTATAATGTTCAAAATCTAGGCCAGGACCACTGAAATAACTTTCAGGCAAATCTGTCTAGGTAATAGAAATGATTAACATTTGTCAGGCGTTTAGTAGGTACCAGGCACTACGCTAAACACTGTATATGTTACTTAATCTTCACAGGAGCCTTCTTAAAATAGATATTGTTATTACCCCCCCTCCATGTTACAGATGAGTAAACTGTGAAGCAAAGAGGGTTCAGGGTTCAGTGAACTTATCATACAGTTAGTTATAGACAGAGCCTTAGGCAGTGTGATCCAGAGAGAGTGGAAGACTAGATGGAGACCTTCCATCCACTGGTTCACTCCCTAAATGAAACTAGGGAACTCTATCCAGGTCTCCCATGTGGGTGTAGGGTCCCAAGCACATGGACCATCATCTGCTGCCTTCCTAGGTGTGCTAGCAGGGAGCTGGATTGGAAGTGGAGCAGCCAGGATACCAGTAATGTGCCCTACTACAAAGCTGGCTGCTGATCTTGTATTCTTAACTGTTTTGCCATACTACCTACAACTGAACAGACAGATGCCACCAACTTCTCTGCTTTTTCCTTTATTTAAAAAAAGTTTTACTTTTTTAATTTGAAAGGCAGAGAAAGAGACAAATCTCCCATCTACTGGTTTGCTCTCCAAATGCCCACAACAACCAGGGCAAGACCGGGACAAAGCTGGGAACCAGGAACTCAGTTCAGGTCCTCCCACATGGATGGCAGGGACCTTTGACTGGAGCACTTAGCTGCTGACTCCCAGGGTGTGCCTTAACAGGAACTGGAGTTGACTCAAACGGAGACCCTCCAGAATGGGGTGCAGGTGTCTTCATCACTAAGGCAAACACCCACCTCTTCTGTAGCTTTTAGTTTTTGACCTGAGCAGCAGACAACACTCATGTTGCACTGGCCTGCTTCCCAAATGCCTGCAGCACCCCCAGGAGGGGGGCCCAAAGGTGGGAGCTGAGGTGACTGGAGCGGTCACTGCTGCCTTTCAGTGCCCACAGAGCAGGAAGCTCGAGTTAGGAGCTCCCTAATGCCAAGCAGGGAGTGAACCCAGGTGCTCTGACTTGGGATACAGGTGCCCTCACTGGCTAAAGCCCCACCCATCCCTTGTTTGTTTTCCTCTGCTTTAGCTCAGCATGAATTGAAGTGGAATGATGCACTGTTCGGAAAACAGTTCGCAGGTGGTTTTCCCAGTTATCTAGGAACCTTGCAGATAGTCACTGTCTCTCCTATATCTTCTGGTTCATTTCGCTGCCGGATGCAATCTCCAGAAAAAATGAAACAAAGAGGAAAAGGACATAAAATGTAGGCTCTGTCCCTTTAGGAGTCTATATCCCCATCAGAGGGACCCAGGAAGGGCCAGCAGTCACGGCTGCAGAGAGGTTGGGGGTGTTTGGGATGGCCCTTTATGCTCGCTCACTTTTTTCCTCTGACTCCTGACAGTCTGGAAAGGCGCGTTCTTTTCCTTGGACTCTGAGCACCCCTCAGATGGAGACCTGAAGCAGTGCTGTCTCCCCCATTCTTCTTGCCCCTTGAAACCACTAATCCCAAATCACTTCCTGCTGGTTGCCTTGTCAGATGCAGCTGAGGCTTCAGGGGCTGTGGAAAATTCCAAGATGGATGCTTTTCTGAGGAGGAGCTGTTAGTACAGGGCAGATACCAAGGTGGGAGGAACCTTCAGCCTCACAGGAGGCTGGAGCCCTTGCAGCTGCAGCGGAGCGAATCTGATCCCAGGAGAGGTGGAGCCTTAATCCTCTTTCAAACCTGGGTCAAGAGTCATGTGGCAGATTCGTTTCCCATCGCGACAGATTCTCAGATTGAGACTGGTTCGCTCTGAAGTCTCCCCCCCACCCCACCCCCGTCCCCGTGAGCACTGAGGATGCATTGACCTAATCTATATCCTGCTTGGGTTTGGTCAGCTTGCCTCAGGTTTCCTGCCCTCACCAAGTCTGGTGAATGTTAATAGCCCGAGACATTTGTATTCTAGTGACTTCTTCCATGCGTTCTGACTCTTGGCTCCAAGCTAAAACTAACAGCTGCCCATGACTCACCCCGCGCCTTGGAGAGGGGCTTCCAGGGGGATGCCTCCCCTGAGTGCTGAAGGGTTAGGGGAGGATCCAAGTGTTTGTGGACAAGTCTCCTTCCTGGTGGTCATCTTCAACTTCCAACTGGCTGGAAGCTCTTTTTCTAGCCACAGTACCCATTCCATTGACTGCATCTTTGAAGAGCTCCTGGGTTTTTCTTTCTGACTGAGCCACATAGTGAAATTGAAATGGTGTAGTTGGCTAGGATAAGGCTAGATTTGGCAATAATTGTTAATTCTGAACAGGGCAGTGGGAGTGGCGGGGTGTTTACATCCTGAAAGTGACGGTGAGTCTTTTCTTTTTAGTTACCCAGCAGACAACCAGAGAGGATCTGGCTTGGCTGGACCCAAAAGATCCAGCATGGTCAGCCCAAGCCATCCACCCCCAGCTCCACCTCTGGGCTCTCCGCCAGGCTCCAAACATGGCTTTGCTCCACCACCCGCCCCTCCACCCCCGCCTCCCGTGGACATCACATCTCCTCCACCACCTGTGGGCTTTGGGTCTCCAGGCACCCCTCCCCCACCCCCACCCTCATCTTTCCCACTTCACCCTGATTTTGTTGCTCCTCCACCTCCTCCTCCACCACCAGCAGCTGACTACCCAGTACTGCCACCACCCCCCTTGTCCCAGCCAGCAGGTGGAGCCCCACCCCCTCCCCCTCCTCCCCCGCCCCCAGGACCACCTCCTCTCCCCTTCAGTGGTGGGGATGGCCAACCGGCTATACCACCACCGCCTTCGGATGCCATCAAGCCCAAGTCCTCCTTGCCTGCTGTGAGTGATGCCCGTAGCGATCTGCTTTCCGCCATCCGTCAAGGTACACTCCAGTGGTGGGTTTGGGATTGTGTTTTTCTGAAGATGGGGGTAACTGATGAAGATATGGTGTGAGGGCTGTGCTCTTCCCAGGAAAGAGTGATTGAGACCTCAGGCCTGAGAACAGATTTCTTCCCACCTCTTAAAATTCTGTTTCAAAGACAGAGAGGTTAGAAAGAGAAACCAAGATCTCCCATCCACTGGTTCATTCCTCAAATGCATACAACATTTGGGCCAGGCTAAAATCAGGAGCCCACACTGCCCCTAGGTCTGCCACCCAGGTTGCAGAGACCCTCTGCCTCCCGTATAGGATGTGGGCACTCCAAGTGGTGTCTCAACCACCAGGCCAAATGCCTTCCTCCTGAAGTCAAAAGTCGAGAATTCTTAACCTGAGATTTTGAAAAATTCCTTAAAAATGTAAGCTTTATATGTATACATGCATTGTCTTTTCTTGAGGAAGGACACTCATTTTTCATCAGGTTCTGCGCCCCAGAAAAAAGTCACTGTCTTAGCAGGACACAGCCACTCTGGTCCTCTTCCACTGCTCTGCCTTCCTTTCCTCCACTTTTTTTTCCTCATCCCTTTTTTCTCCCCATTTCCTCTCTCTCTATTTTTCTTTAAGATTTATTTATTTGAAAGGCAAAGTTCTAGCAAAAAAAAAGAGAGAAAGAGAGAGAGAGAGAGAGAAATTGACTGATTGTTTTTCCATCACCTAGGTCCCCTTCCCAAAGGGTTGGGGCCAGGCTGAAGTTAAGACCCAGGAACTCTGTCCAGGTCTCTGGTGTGGGTTCAGGGACCCAAGCACTTGGGCCAGCTGCTGCTTTCCCAGGCGCATTAGGAGGGAGCTGGATTGGAAGGGGACTCCAACAAGTTCTCAGTGTTATGCCACAATCTGGCCCTTATCCTCTTCCTTGGTCATGGCTTCACAATGGCTAGTGGAGTGGCGGCTCCCCACGCAACACCTCCTGAGAAAGCCCAATCCTCTGCAGTCAGGAAGAATGGCTTCTCTGCCACAGACCCCTGGCCCTGGCCGTCCCTCAGTCCCACCCCCTGCCAGGGCAGAACCGAGGCTGGGCACACCCCTTCACTCTCTTCCCCCTCCCCTGCCACCAGGTTTCCAGCTGCGCCGGGTTGAGGAGCAGCAGGAGCAAGAGAAGCGGGACGTCGTGGGCAATGACGTGGCCACCATCTTGTCCCGGCGCATTGCTGTTGAGTACAGCGACTCAGAAGACGACTCCTCGGAGTTCGATGAAGACGACTGGTCCGATTAACTCTGTCTGCCACCCGCTCCTTTGTCTTTCCTTCCTACCTGCCGCCTTTGCCGCCTACCCCCACAGTCCCAGAGGCGGAAGGGGAGAAGAAAAGAATTTTAAGGGGCCAGAGCTTTCCTTGAAGCAACCAAAGATATATCCAAATGCTTCCTCAAAAGGAACATGGATTTCCTGTCCCTGTTGTCAGGCACCATGGGCCTCCTCAGCCACAGCCGCTGAGACACCCCTTGTCCTTGCAAGCTATTGCTGCATACTGAAAGGAAGGAAGACTCCTAAACCCTCCGCTTGGGTCCCGGCCGGATGCGGTATCTCCCCCTAAAAGCCATTTCAGTCGTGCCTTGTCCCCAAAGCTTTGAAAATGCCAGCCCTCTTTGGTCCTGATCAGTGAGAGCAGCCTGCATGGATGCGGCCAGCCCCTCGCATGCTCCCCTGGGAAGGCAGTGCAGTGTCCCAGCAGCCAGACTGGCTTTGGCCAAACCTTCCCTCTGCTGGCATGCCCCAGGCCCAGGAGGTGTTAGCCCTCCTGAGTGGCTCCCCACCTCACCCCCAAATGGCGCTTTTCTGAGGGCTGAGGTGTGCCTCCTCGCAGACTGCTCTGGGGAACAGGGTGTTCAGCTGTTCCCCTAAATACCCTCCCCACTCCTCCCCCCAGGAGTCCTCAGGGAGCATGGCCCAATTCAAACCTCTAACATGCGTGACCAAAGCAGCCCTGGCACAGGGAGCCAGGCCCATGCCTGCTCTCAGGAGCAGAGCCGGGAGCTGGCACTGAAGGCCTGAGAGGGAAGGGACTTGTTCAAGGTCACCTGGCTGACCGGTGACAGAGCAAGAGCCTGAGTGCTTGATTTCAAATCGACTCTGCTTTCTGGGACCAAATCACAGCCCAAGCTGGAGCCAGAGTGGAACAGTTCTGGCTCCATAGCTACTCCAGACCTCAGCCTGGGGGGTCAGAGAGGGCCCCCTGCCCCCATCACCGCTCAGCTCCTTATAACCTTGCCTCTAATCCTCTGTTGCCCCTTTCCATCACCCCCTCACCACGTAACCTTGAGAGCGGCCCTTGTTGGGGCCAAGAGCAGTGGGAAGGAAGGGGCCGGCAGCTTTGGCAGGTGCTGTTTTCAATTCCTCTGCAGCTCCTCCCCCTCTTCCTTCCCCCGTTTAAGCCTAGACTCTGCCAACTGTAGAAACTTGGGTCCTTCAGGCTGGCAGCCACAGCAGGTCCCTGCGGGGTAGGCATGGGGGCGGGGGCTCTGGCAGCTGGGAAGATGCTGGGAGGCAGAGGGGCGTGATGAGGTCCATTTCTCAGCACCCCTCACTGCGTGGCAAGGTTCCCTACGCTGCTCCCTGCTGTGCCCAGAGCTCATACACAGGTGCTATTATTCGGTGGGGAAGGGGGGAAGCTGGTCAGCTCTGACCCTCAGCGAGGTTTCTTCTCTCTGCCCTAACTATTGTGTAGCCTCTTCTGCCGAAATCGGCTGCTCCTGGCTTCTTGGGCTTTCAGAGCCCTGAAACAAAGAAAAACAGGATCTGTCTCTACCCAGCACAGCAAATGGTTGTAGTAATTGCCAGAGCCCTCGTAAACCCCTCCGGCTCGAGGAGAGTGTGTATAATCTCGGGTACTGCCGCTGTCTGCCTCCCCTCCACCTGCCTGCCTTGAACTTGGGGCATGGGGCTAAGCCTGGAGATGCAAGCAGGCGCCCTAGCTGCAACCAGTCTCAGGCCAGGTATCCATGGCACGGGGCAGGCGCCCAGTTCCACTCTCAGCATACCGTGCCACCTCTTCCCATCTCCCATCCTGCTTTGCATTGGGACCCTAAAATGGCCGATGAAGGGGCCTCTGCCACAACCCTCTTTCCAGCAGCGGCTGGAAAGGCAGGCAGGGCAGTGGTTCTTCCAGATAGGAGTCCTGGGGCCTGGCCAGGCCAGGGCTTGGGCCTAATGGCTCTGACTAAATTACCCCCATCCTCCTCCTTTCCGGAAAAGGGGGAGCCAGAGCTGCTCACAGTCATTCTGCTGTGACCTTGAAGGGGGCGGTGTTGGCCTGGCTTCTGGAATGGACAGAGTCCACCGTGGAGAGGGCCAGGGGCAGGAGGAGGTGGGGAGGGGCCCTGCCCGCGGAAGGTAGGATTAGATCATTAGCTCAGTGACCTCCTAGGGTTTCGATGTGCTGTGTTCTCATCCTACAGCTGCTTTGGTAATGATCTGCAAGTCCCGGAGAGCAACAGCACAGCTCTGCCTGGCGCTCTCATTAAAATCTATGCAGCCAAGCTCGGCGCTTTGTAGCAGCCGGCCTTGCGAAGCCTTCTCAGCTCGGGGGGCTGGGGACCCAGTCAGCCAAGGGGCCCTCTGGGCTCTACTTATGCATATGTACACCAAAAAAAGATGCTTCTTTAAACCCAGAGCCCTTTAAGATGATAAAGGACCCAGTGCAGGTAGTCATCGTGTGTTTTTGGAATCCTGTAATTGTAGAATGCAAAGTTTAGTGGTTATTTAAACTGGGCCAGTGTTGGTAAGAGTGTGAATCAATGGCCCATAAGGACTCTTCAGGGGCGAAGCTGAGGAGCCACCACCCTCCCTGGGCTGCCCGACCCAGGGGGGCTGCCCTCATTCCCGCGGCCCAAGGGTCCAGCTTCCCGGCGACAGTGTCAGGAGTGACTTGTGGCTTTTCCTTGGCTATGAGATGATTTCATTCCAAAGGAGCAGGGGGGGAGGGGGGCAGGGACAGCTCGGTGATCCCTGGGAGGCTCCGAGCAGCTGGCCCAAGCTCCAGCTTCCTCCAGTGGAAGCTCGAGTGCCCTCAGAAACGACCCTGGCCAATGTCACCGCAGAGCCAGGGCAGCGTTGTCAGAGCTAATGTGAAATCTCTTCCCGTGGCGCCGATCCTCTGACTTGCAGCGCCAGCTTGGACAGATTGAGGTCTCTGTGGCTCCGGTGACCCTGCTTGAGCATTCCCACCGTGTCCAGCTCTGCTACAGCACCGCCTCCCGTCACCACCCCCACCTGACCCCAGGGCCCAGGCCAGGCTGGGGATGGGGGCTTCCCCGGGGGGCCAGGCTAGAGACCAGCTAACCTGTTGGGACCAGATGTTGTGCAGAAATGTTTCTCACTCTGTGCCTGCTGCCACGTTCACTTGGACAGTGCGTCAGTGAGGGCTAGGGAACAATTTTGTTATTGTATTAACTTTATCCAGCTAATTCACTTGAGAAACTAACCAATTTTTACTTTCTGTCTAGAATGATGTACATGTAGGAGAGTAAGCCGTAACGCTCCCAAAGTGCCTTGTTTTCTCTGATATAAATATATTTATAAGGACATATTCCAGTGGGTTTCTGGGCGTGTTCGCCATGTTGAGATTTTAGGGAGAAAGTGCCCGCGGAGAGGGGCCTCCCGATTGCCAGCAGGCCCCTCCCTCCTGCGCAGAGAGGAAGGTGGAAGACACCTGGAGACTTGGGGCAAGGCTAGACCCCTGCCCGACCCTTCCTTCTCCTGCCCGGTTCTTCTCAGACCCTCAGAAGGTCGACCGGGTCTCTGCTCTCATTTCCTCCCCACGAGGCTCATGCGTGTACCGCATTTGTGCCCCAGTGACCTGCAGGTTCCGCGGAACCATTTTCTGTATGCACATGAGTCCTGAAATGCCAACGTTGAAAATCATCTGATAAAGTCTTTGTAGCCACTCAGCCACCCAGGGTGTGTGTGAGTTGTTTTCCTGGGAGAAGAGATTAGGAGGAGCCACACCGGCGGGAGGGCTTCCTGTGTGGGTGGGCACGAAGGGCAGGAGGCCAGTCACTGAAGGTGAAGTGGGCTGGAAACCATTTTGAACAAGGAGGAGACCCAGGTTGGGGAACCTGTCGGTCTGCGCCCCCCTCCGGTAGGGGGGCAGGGCAGGGGAGGCGGGCTGCTAGCAACGCCTGGCCTCGGGTGAGGAGCGGGGGGCTGAATGCTGATGTTGCCTCCCAACATCTGGCCGGCATCTTGTCTGCCTCTCAGACCCAGGCAACCTACCTTAAATAGAGCGATTTACAATGGAATCCGATAAAAGGTTTAGGCTGCCGCACGCCCCCTCTCCTGCCTGAGGAAGGCGAGGGGGCTGGGTTTAGCTTCTGACCCAAAAAAATGACCTACCCAGGAAGCAACGGTTGTTCCCAGCACAGCTGCTGCGGGTAACTGTCCCTGGGGGTAATTTATGAGCAGACACCCAGTTCCGGGCCCCACCGAGACAGTGGAGTGGCCCCCGGGAGGGGCGGGAGCTGGGTCACGCCTGCTGTTGAGAGAGTCACCCACTGGCGTCCCAGGAGAGGGGGCCGAAGTTTTGAATTGTCAGCAAGTGCTGCGCCAGCCGCTCTGAGCTCATCGTGCAAGCCGGGGGTGGCCGGGGAGGGGGCCGCTCGCCGCTCGCCCTGCAGCCCCTCCACTCCACCCTCCTGCTCGGGCCTGTGTTTAGTCAGCACTTGGCTGCCCGAGGCCGGTGACTGACAAGCAGCCAGACGGCCGCCCTGGCAGAAGACAAAATGGTGGTGTCGGGAGCCGCCCTTGCTGGGGAGTTGGAGGGAAGGAATGTGGTTCTGGGAAGCCAGGAAGGCCTGAGCTGGAGTTCTGGCTCCGCCATCCGGGAGCTGTGACCCTGTGCAGGTCCCTTCACCTCTCTGAGCTGAATGAGTCCCCGCTGAGAGGCCAGGAGCCCCCATCTCAGCCCTGGGGAAAGCAGGTTCACAGAGGTCAAGTGAGATGCCAGAGAGCACAGAGCTAGCTGGCTGGGCACAGAGCCTGCGGGTCGAACGCTGGCTCCAGCCGGGGCTCACGGCGGACGCCATCCCCAGGCAGGCTTACCAGCTCGCGTCTGCCTCCAGAACGCTGTGGTTTAGGGCTGGAAGGGTTTGTGAAAGGTCTCAATTCCCATCTCCCCACCCCTGGGGTGAAGCATTACAGGCGCAGTAAACAGGTGGTGCTTCTTTGGGCTCCACCCAGGGCAACCAGACCTCAGGACTGCAAGTTCCCTGCACCCTCAGCCACGCATGGGGGGAAGCTGGGCCTCGGTACGCACCCACGTGCACGTGTGCCTGCTCACACGTGAGCTGAAAAGCGGCACGCGTGAAGGAGCACACAGCCCAGGGACACAAGCATTCACTGTGCACAGAGCCCTGCCCCTGTGCAAATCAGGGCACACAGCAGCCTTGCAGTCCCAGGAACACACAGTGGCTGCCAACTGCACACCCATGCTCACAGTCACCCCTCCCTGCTCGCTGCCGCCGCCTGCTCCTTACTGCCCCCTTCTGGCCACCTGGTAGCCAGGGCACCAGGAAGCTCTGCTCTTGGGGTGTTGTCCGCCTGGTTTCTTTCTAGATCCTAAGGGTGACCAGCAGGTTCAGGCACTCCCTCGGCACAGCATCTTAGCACTAGAGTTGTGGGTGTCTAGAGGGTGTTCCTGCAACTTGAAAACAAAAAGCCTTTGACAGCCAAAGGGGCATGGCACGGTGGGACTATCAGTTGCTGATGACAGCCAGCCAGTAGTACTTGGGACAGGGGTCCTTCCTACCTGGACCCCTCCCACTCCAACCAGCAGCCAAACTGTGCCTGCACATACTGCACGCACAGACATGTGGCCAATCCAGAGAAGTCGGGAGTCAAGTCTTCTAGCTCCTGCTTTGCTGCTGCATCTCTATTCAGCAACAAGCTGTGACAATGGCGTCTCACGCTCTTGGGAGTTCCCCGGTGTGTGTGCCCGAGTAAAGCACAGCCGCTAGACACGACCCTGTTGGCTCCTCGGGACAGTCTTGGAGGGGTTACGGATGTGGAATCACTCATTCCGATCTTGCAGACAAGCACACAGAGAGGTGTAGCCATTTATCCAAAGTCACACAGCAAGCCAACAGCAGACAGGAAAATAGAAACTGTTCTTCCCAGTGCTTCAGTCTGCCTCCAAGAGAGTGGAGCACCCTTGGACTTGGGCCCAGAGCCTTGAGGCTAGAGCCAGAGGCGCTGGCCTTGGGTCTGGGAACCCTGACAAGGTCTGCATTGCTGTCTGAAGCCTTGTGGGCAAGCTTAGGTATGTGGCTTAGGGGTTGGAGAAAGGCAGCCTGGAGCCTGGCGAGGAGTCTGCCTCTCACCACCCTCCACCCCACTGGCCCTGGGGCTTTTATGCCAGACCAGAGGCAGGCAGGAGGGGGGCTCTTCCCGAACCTGTGGCCACTTGCTGTGTGCTCATGCATGGTCAAGCCTGCAAGCATCCCAGAGGACCCTGACAGTTTTATGACATGGATGGGTGTGCATGGCAGTTCTTCGTACCTGGGTCTGTTGCTGAGGTGTGTACACTCGGTTTGTTCCTGAGCGTACTTTGCAGGTGCTAGTGTGCACCCACATGGGTGTCCTGTTGCTGTAGAACACATCCATATGTGCTGCTGGGAGTGGGTGTGAGTGCGCATGTAGGGACAGCCTTGGGTGACTGCACAGGAGCCACACAAGAGCCCCCGCCCCCAAGAGCAGGACATCACTTTTCCTTGTACTGGCCTTGGGACAGGAGCTGCCCCACCCCACTCCAGCCAGCCACTGAGCGCACAGTGCCCCCACCTCACCCCCACGAACCCCCTATTCCCAGACCTCCCCCCTTGGCCAATTTGCAGCCTCTTGCTCCCAGCTCCAGAGCAGGCCTGCAGCAAAGTCAGGAGCTGGCGGCCAATTAGCGAGGGGGTTAATTAGGGATCTGGGGGCCCCTGGGGGCTGGGAAGCTGAAGGCAGGCACGGGGTGAGCAGGAGTGTGAGGTGCTTGTCATGAGATTGGAGCGGGAGGCTGAAGCCAAGGGGGAGCAGGAGAGTTCAAGATCGCTGAGTCCTGAGCAGGGAGCACGTGCATGTAAAAAGCCAGGCACAAGCATTCAGGGCTTGTGTCAACACCTGACCGGACCCTGCCTGCACACATACACACATGTCTGTACGCTGTGTGCAGCTGCGTGTGCAAAGGCTTTAGACGTGCAAGCAAGGTTGGTCCCTATGCACATGTGGGCAAGAGCCTGTTCAAACATTCACCTGTGTGCTGCATCACACAGACATGCCCGGACAGCTGACACGGCCCGTGTGCATTGTATGCAGGTGTGCCTGGCTATACATGCGTGTCAGGATGTGTGTGCCTGAGGGCATGTTCTCTGGACAGTCAGGAGCCAGGCCCTGTCCACGTGCCTGTGTGTACCCATGGGTGATTGCCCGCATGTGCGTGCTCAGTCCTCAGGGTGGAGGGAGCTGGGGGTGCGGGGCTGGCAGCCTTGCAGCTCCAGGGGGGTCACCTGACAGACAGGCTTGCTGCAGCCCCCGGCCCTGGGAGCCTGTTTTCTAGCCAGTGGAAGCTGTGAGCCCGTGAACTCATCTTATATTAATAGCTGCTCTCTCCTCATTCACCGCCGGGGGAGGCAGTCATGGCCCCGGCCAGGCGCTGCAGCGGGGCTGCCTCGCTCTCACACAGGACAGAGGGCAGTGGGGAAAGGCGATGGGGGCACCCCTGTTTAGCTCTGCCTCCTTGGATCCGGCATGGGGGCTGGGCAGCTTGCAGAGGCTGGCTTACCCTCCCCAAACGCATGCATGCACACACAGATGGGCACACACACACACACATATGCACATGTGTGTGGAGCAGCCCTGCACTGAGTGTCAGGAGGGGGAAGGCGTGGTCCTGCCCTCAGTCTAAAGTAGGAGGCCGGCTCCCAGGATTCCCAGTGTGGCGGGGGAGACACGACCTTGTACTTAGAAGCCCCTCATGCTTTTTTCAGGCCTTCAGTCTGAGAGGATCAACATGGCCTTCCTCCAGGGGTCCGAGTCAGAGGCAGAAGCCAGGTGAGAAGCTTCAGTCCCAGATCCCTTGACAGGCGCAGTGGGCACCATATATCTGTCACTTCAGCTGCCACCAAGAACTCAACCAGGAAGGCTTCCTGGAGGAGTGTGGGGTGGAGGTTCAAAGCGAGGCCTCGTCTGTGGGGTTCCAGGAGATATACCACCACATTCACAAGCTCAGCCCAAGGGGCAGACCAGATGTACCTCAAGGGGTGGCCAAACCCCCCATGCCTGGAAATGCTTCAGACCCTTCCCCACTCCACAGCCCCCAGAGAGACCCTTCCCACAAAGGGTGATTAAAGTCAGGCCTGTTCAGATCCTGGAGCTGGGGTGGGGGCACACAGGGCTGAGCCCTGGCCCAGGAGCAGCTGGCCCTTGACCTTCCCCTCCTGAGAGGCACAGGGGGCAGTAGGCAGTTGTGCTCAGGTGCCAGCGATGCCCTCAACAGGCCGGAGCACTGCCAGGTATCCCCTACCCCCCAACCTTCCTGCCTGCGCCTGAAACCCACTCCCACGAGAGGCGGGTTTGGTCTCCCACACACCTGCTCACTGCGACTTAGGGCATGTCCAAAGTCACCTTTCTAAGAGACAGTTTCTGGACAATTGCATTTCACACTCCCATCCTTCCTGCCATACCCTGGGAACATGTCACTGACACCACATTTCTGGGAAAAAATGTTTCTTTCCATGATTTTCTCCCACGGCTAGCAAGCAGGCCACCCTCAAAGGCAGCAGAGAATGGGTGAAGGTCCTTTCCCCATGTGGGCCACAGTGTCTGCATCTGTAAAGTGGACACAGAACCAACCTGAGGAAGCTGTGAGCCATCTTTGGCTGTGTTGGCCTCAGAGCTTGGCCTGGGCATGGCTTGCTGAGCTGGGCCGGCTTTTCCCTGGAAAGGCAGGGAACTGGACCTAAGGCCCAGCTGAGCTTGTGTCTGGGAGGCACCACTGTGGTTGCCACCTTGGACTCTTCCACCTGATGCTGGGAGGTGGCAACCACAACAAGCGGAAGAGCTGTCGGGGGTGGGGGAAGACAGGGAAGACCTGGATCCTGGCCTGGTGCAGTTCCCCTTTGGCCTTTGTGCTTCTGCTTGCTGGCCCACAGGGCCACATAGGGCCCTGCCTCCAAGCCCTGCCCAGTGGTCAGGTCTGGGCACCTGAACAGCCAGGTGGGTCAGTGCTTCTTCAGCGATCCTCTTACCAAACACGCAAACCTGGGACAATGTGCCTGCACAGCCCAGAAGCACCTGCTCACAGTCACTCACTTTTCCAGCTCCAGAACCACTAGGCTGTGGCTGGCTGCCTCCCTGGGGTGGGCCTGCGGCCCTGGGAGTGCACCTGCTAGAGCCTGGGGTGTGGAGGCCCCAAGCCTCAGGAGGAAGGAAGTGGGAGGCCGTTGCCTAGGAGACAGTGCCTAAGTCCTGGAAACAGGTGTTCCTGGTTGTCCCGACTTTGGCATTTCCTAGCTGTGGGACCAGGGCCAGTCCCCTACCGTTGGTCAATCTCTACTTCCTCATATGTGCCGAGAGGCGCCTGGTGGGCTTAGCCACTGGCCACAAGGGACACTCCCAGTGCTCAGGAAACTGACCTGCAGTGAGCACGTCCTTCATGCCAGAACCTCAGGTGACCTGATGTGGGAATCCTAGTTCCTGTCCCCAGGGCAAGGAAGTCCTTGTCCAATGGTGCCCAGGTCTGAGCAGAGGGGAACTGGCATCCTGCCAGGCATACCCCACGCTGGGTCTCCAGTTCTTCCAAAAAGCCCTCATGGCTTGGCCTGGCCCTCTGGTTATCCCCCACCACACAAACACACCAGACACCATGCACACACCTCACACACACCATACACACACAGCTGACAGAAACGTGCTTATCACAAAATCACGTTTTATTGGGTTTAGGTACAAGAACAGGGAATGCACTGGGGGCCATACCCCGGTTGGCAGAGGGGTGGGGAGTTGGCTCGTGCCCCGCCTCCTCCAGGGCACCGCGGGGTGAGGCCGGGCCCCCATGCCATGGCTGTGGCGCTGGACACCAGGCTAGAGTGGAGTTGGGGCTGCTTCTGGTCCCAGCTGCTCAGCCAGGCTGCAGTTCCCCCGAAACGGCCACCAGAGGGCAGCCTGCCCCCAGCGCAGAGGAATTCTCGGTTGCTCAGGTGATGGCTTCTTAAAAAAATAAAAAACCAGAGGCTGGTGTGTTCCCCTTGCAGCCCGACGGGGGGCGGGCCTGGGGAGAAGGCTCTGGTTCCTATGATCTCTCCGATAAAAAATAAGCAAAATAAATAACAAAATACGTGATTTCTCTTTCTCTCCACCCTCCTCCCCCCAGCTTTCCAGGAACTGAGGTCAGGACAGTGTAGGGATCCAAGATCCCATGGTATGGCCTGGATTTCAGGGCGAAGGTCTCTTTTCCTCCCTTACTATCCGTAAGAAAATCCATAAATAAATAAATAACTCATAAATAGATCCTCTCTTTGTATGTGCGCACATAGATATAGATAAATCTGTCTTGGTCTAGGCAGCTAAGTGACTGGCTTCTCTTCAAGCTTAGAAATTCAAAAGTAAAGTGACATGGTCAAGGTCAAGTCTAGGGGCAGAGGAAGATGGAGGACTCGGAATGGCTCTATAAACCACTTCCTCCTCCTCCCAGTTCCCTGCTCCCCCCGCAGAGTTCTGGAATTGCACATCAGCTGGGCCGTGGGGCAACTCTTAGTAGAACCCCGAACACCTGCACATCCTGAAACCATGAACCCGTCGGGCCCCTGCAGGGATCTGCTGGAAACACCCGATGGCCTAGAACTCCAGAACCAGCTGGGTCTCAGTCAGGGGTGTGGAGCCGGGGTGGGAGAGGTAGGGGGTGAGAATGAGGCCCTGAAGAACATTCTGGAACATTCTGGAATCCTGTAGCGAGATTGGGGCCAGAAGGTGAGAGGGACAGGACTAGACATCACTGGGGGAACGGGAGCGGAAGGGCATCTTGGAAGAGGAACAGCAGCAGCAGATGGCCCACAGCACCTTCTGCACGTCTTGGTTGCGGAAGGCATAGATGATGGGGTTAATCATGGAATTGTAGGTGGCGGGGAGCAGGGTGAGATAGGTGTAGAGGGGTGGGGAGTGGGCATCACCCAGCAGGCAGTAGACAGTGAAGGGCAGCCAGCAGGCGGCAAAGGCGCCAAGCACCACGGCCAACGTGGCGATGCCCTTGCGGGTGGCCACATAGTGGGAGGCGGGCAGCAGGTGTCGCTGGAGCGCGATCTGCTGGGCATGTCGGCAGACGATACGGCAGATCTGGGCGTAGAGCTGCAGCATGATGCCAAACACCATGAAGAAGGCAATGGCCAGGACCACCAGATGGTTCTTGGAGAGAGGTGAGACTACCCCACAAGTGGTCAGGCCATCCAGACAGTTCCAGACCAGCACCGGTAGCAGCCCCAGGCCCAGGGCGCCTCCCCACACTAGGGCCAGCATCACGTAGGTCCGTGTCACCGTCGTCTCTGAGTAGTAAGTGAGGGCGTTGTACAGAGAAAGGTAGCGGTCCACGGTGATGGCCAGCAGACTGCCAATGCTGGCGGTGAAGGCCATTGCCAGCACGGCCACCAGTACCAGGCCCATCTCCTCTGAGCCAATGCAGAAGATGGCAGCAAAGTGCAGCACCAGACCCAGGCCCGCCAGCAGGTCTGCCACGGCCAGGCTGCCCACCAGTAGGAACATGGGGGCACGAAACGCAGGTGTGCCCACGATGATGGCCACCACCAGGGCATTCTCACAGGACACCAGCGTGCCTGAGATGCACAGCACCACGTCCCAAGCTGTGGGGGAGGGCAGCGGCGGGGCTGCGGGGCCTGCGGACCCCTCTGCAGCTGGGCCTGTGCTGCTTGCATTCACACCACCTAGGCCAGCTGAGAGCCAGGCCAGAGGGCCACCTGCACCCCACATCGTGGCACCTGCGGGAGAAAGATCCTGTGAGAATTGAATTGGACTGGGGGTGCTGGGAAGAGGGCTCCAGAAGGGGTAGCACACCCCTCAGTATGGGTGGGGGGGCACCCTTCATGCATGCAACACGCTTCATGCTGAGCCCAGGCCATCTGCACCTCTTGGATGTCCCAAGCCCCTCCATCTTTTCCTGGGGATCCCTATCCTGGTCTCTGCACCCTCCTCTCTGGGTCCTACAGGCCTCCTTTCCCACGTGGGTGACGGGAAGCAAACCTGACCAGGGGCTGACACCAGTGGGATAGGGTTCCAGGGGGACACCAGGGACTCCAGACAGGGTGGCCAGGAGAGGATAGTGCACAGGGGTGGAAGGCAGCCGCCTGCCCTGCCATCTGCATGAATGATGCTCCAGACCCTTCAGGGTGCTCTGCACTGGCAGCTCCAAGCTCCGCCCCCAAGGGAGCGCGTGAGCTCCCCATCTGCCCCCTCCCGCCTCGCCTTCTGGGGTAGCCACACCTGGGGAGCTGGCCCTCTCCCTCCCAGACTTTTGTGCCCAGCGGGGGCCCCCCTCCTTCAGTCCGAACCCCCTGGGTCTCCAGGAAGGGCCCTCGCCCCCCGTGCTGGAAGCCTGGCTCCCCCTGAGTCAGACCCGCTGGGTGCCGGGACACCTGCATTTCAGGCCAGGTTCAGCCTCCTGCCCCGCGTATCTGCATCCCCAGATCAGACCCAGGGTCCCCGCCCCAGATGTCTCCTGCAGGCCCGACCTCCACGACCCTAGATGACCCGCTGTCCCTGCAGAAATGCTCACTCTTCGCCAGGTCACCCAACTGACCACTCCGGCACCCGAATACCTGGATGCCGCCCCGCCCGCTCAACCCAGCATCCCAGCCTCGACCTCTGACCCTGGCGGGCAGCTAGGAGCCTTGGCCCGGCCCATGGCCCCTTGCAACCTGCGTGCCCTCCCGGACGCCTCAATGTGCGCGGCGGCGGCCCTGGCGGGGGCCCTGGCGGCGGCTGCTACTCACCGTTCCGGACCGGGTGCGGCCGGGCCGCGGGGAGTCCTCGCTCGGGTCCGGCGGCTCAGGGTGTGCGCGGACCCCGAGAAGCCCCCGCGGCCGGTGAGAAGCGGCGTGAGTCACCCCGCCCCGCCCCCGGCCCCCAGCTCGCTGACGTCAGCGCCCCGCTAGCCAATGGGCGCAGCGCGCTGAGGCGCAGCGCGCGTTGCGCGGCATAGTAATGAGGCCTCGCGCCGCCCGCTCCCCCATTCATAAAAAGCGGCCGTGGCCACGGCCCCGCCCCTCCCGAGTGGGCCCGCGCTGTCCTTGACGCGGCGCCCTCTGCGGGCCGGGGACGCCGCTGGGACAGCCCGAGGGAAGTCTCAGGAAAAGGCTGCAGAGGATGGGGCGGGGGCTGCGGAAAAGGGGACCCGGACAGGCTGTGGGGATCCAGGTGACGGAGACAGAGGCGATGGGCGGAATGGGCGTCCCCGGGGAGGATGACGGGGCTGCCGATCGTGGGGCTCTGAGGTGACGATGACAGGAACACAAGGGAGAGCCGGGAGGTTGGTGGCAGTGACGGTATGAGATGGTGACAGGATCTTGGAGGGGGGAAGGTGGCCGTGGGACGCTGACGGGAGAGGACCAAGCTTGGGGTGGGGAGGGGCAAACATCTCAGTTTCAGTATCCTGTGTGGATGGGGGATTCCAGGGGAAGTGGGAGCATTCCAGGCGACTTCGGGTCCCAGTACCCTCTAAGTGCCAAGGCACTGAGCTAAGGAAGTTGAGCCATGAGACCTGTGGGGTCTTGGCATATGAAGACCCCAAGTGACTGTGGTCCCGGGTCCCAGGAGACAGTGCCAGACAGGTGAGTTGCTGCCAGGGTAAGTCCCGTGATGCTGGGGCTGGGATGAGGGCTGGTGACATCACGCCTGTCAGCCCAATAGCGCCCTCTCCACCCCGGGGGAGGGGTGGCCTGGCGAGGTTTCAAACCCTGAATTATTTATCCAAGGATCTGGAAAGCCAAGGGTGGGGACACTTCCCCGAAGGAGCTGGGGAGCGGGAAGAACTTGGAAGCAGAGACCCTGACAGCCGGCCCTCACAGCTCCTCGTCCTCCGCCCGCCCCCTTAGCTTGGCTGCTCCTGATGCACGTGACTCTAATGCAAGTGCCCAGGGATGGAGGCATGGCACAGGCGTGGGCCTGGGCACAGCACAAGGGGAAGGTTGAGGGGCAGTTAAGGGAGAAAGGGGCTGGAGAAGCCGAGACCTCTCCGGTCGTCTCTGGTGGGTCATGGTTCATCTGAGGGACTTAAGCCACAGAAGTGGTCAAGAGCCAACTAAGTTCGAATCCCAGGTTGTCCATTTTCAGCTGTGTGACCCCAAGGGGTACTGGGGTCTGTGGGCCCATTTTCTCAACTCCCAACCAGGGATGCTGTGACTTACTCCTTTATAGAGCTGCTGGCTATGCATTTTTTTGTTGTTGTTGTTTCAATTTCACTTACTAATTTTTATTCATTTGAAAGAGAAAAAGTGAGAACCTGCATTTGCTGGGTCGCTCCCTGAATGCTTGCCCAAAGCTCAAGCTGGGTCTTTCACACAGGTGGTTGCAGTATTAGCCAAAACAGGCTGGAGGGCACCCATAGAGGTCATAGTAGCATTTACATTCAACAATCACCACATGCCTGACTTCTTTTTAATTACAAAAACTGGAAATTCCACGGGGAGAAAGACTCTTCTATATGGTTCCTTTGTAGATGTTCCTGAACTAAGGATTCTAAAGCCTGTGACTTTAATTGGTTAAGGCACCATTGAGGCCTCCACACAGGCAAATCAGATTTCCATAGAATAGGTATTGGTGATAGTTTCATAAACTCAATGGCCCCCTAAGAAAAACCTAGCCCATATTGGCGGTGATTTTGTTCTGTAGGAACTGGCTCTATGTTTTCCTGAAAGTTCCTTCCTAAAATTTTACCAGAACAGTGGTCTATGTTGCTCACTCTTGGCTGAGAGGGGGAGGGTTATTATAAGCAGACCTCCACATTCCATTGTTGTAATAAATCTCTCCCCCACAAATTAATAGGAATTGGAGCAATATAAGGTTGCACGATACCCTGTAAATTTTCAGGATTAACGCATCTTAACTTCTCTGTACTAACACAAAGCACAGTGGCATTCACTGCCCCTACACCCTGGAGCCCACAATCGGCAGGTTCTGTGGGCCAGTTAGAAGGCCATTCCTTATTTGAAATAACTGAAACATCTGCTCCAGTGTCTAATAACCCAGAGAATTTTCTGCCATTGATGGGTCAATTCAAGTGTGGGTCGTTTCCCTTCAGATATAAGAGTTGTCAAATTGACATATTTGTTAGTACTACCGAATCCCAATTCTTTTGTTATTAGAAAAACTAGGCATATAAGACGGCAGAAGTAAAAGCGGTGCAATTTTTTCTCCTGCCTTAAAAGTCCAGGTACATGGAGTTGTAATCATCACAAAAACTTCTCCTTTATAATCAGAATCAAATGTACCTTAATATTTTTCAAAGTTTGAGACTACCACGTCCGATTATTAAGCCAACCATTCCTTCAGGAGTGGGTCCAAAAATTCCAGTGGGCACTTTACAAGGACACTGAGATGGTGTAATAGTGAAATCCTGGGAGTTATCATTGTCCAAGACAGCACTTTAAACCTGTTATGGCTCTTGATTGTTCGGGGCCTGGGGCTGGCCCTGCCAGGAGTTTCCCGGCATTGTTTGCGAAAATGACCTGGCTTGCCGCAATTGAAACATTTAGCCTTCATCTGCTTCTGAACAGCAAAGGTTTCCATTGTGGCTAAACGGTCCATGGGTCCCTATGTTACAGCAGGCTTTTAGGTAACCCAGAAGATCCTCTCTTTTATAAGACAAATAACAGCCTGGCAGTCCTCATTTGCATTATCAAAAGCTAACTGTCCGTCCCACAAAGTCAGCATAAGATTCTCCAGCTCCTTGGATGACTTTTGTATAACTGCCTGCAAACGCAGACCCAGTGTCAACTTTCTCCCAGGCCCACAATGCTACGTCCCGTATATGAGTAAGCGCACCTTGAGCCAGTTGAATTTGCTGCTCTGTAGTAGCCCACTGTCCATCTCCTACCAGCATATCATAAGTTAATTGCCCACCCTCCAGGAGTTGTCGGCCTGCCCGTCCTAAAGATTGTAACTTCTTCTTAGCCGTATCACTCCTCCACATCTTCCATTGTAGATATTGCGAAGGAGAAAGCCCTCTTTTGCTATTACTTCGAAATCATAAGGAATCTAGTTTGCTTCTCGGCTCCAACTATTCAAATATTCCAAGACGGAATGTGGAAGTGGGTTCATAGGACACACAAGCCTTTTTAAAAGTTGTGACGTCATTGAAATCTAGGCTCTCGTACATGGGTTGATTGAGCTCTTGACTAAGTATAATTGGAAAAAGTGATTGGCATTCACGAGGTCTGCGGGGGAATATTGCGGGGAACAGGGTGCTGAAGCCGTTCTGGGATTGAGGGGGCCATTGCAAGATGGTGGCTGGGCCAGGGCCAGGAGGTGGAATTGGTCTCGCCAGCAGGTATACAGGAAGTCACAGGGTTAGGCTAATGCCCTCTCTGTGATTATTGGCCTATCACGTAGCGCCAAGTGCACCCACGGGGAGAAGTGATTGGTGGAGAACAACATAAAAGTAGCCATTGTAAAAGCTGGGATGGACGACTAAGAGGGACAGGAAGGACGAGGACAATGAGAAAGACGGGGGGAAGAACGATGGACGGAACAGAAAGAATAGGGCAGCAGAGAGGGGAAGAAGGGTTAAGATCCTCAGCTGGAAAAGTTAAGGCGAACAAGAGTGGACAAAAGCAGGAAGAGGTATACAAAAGCAGAAGAGAAGTAGTAAGACGTAAGTTCGGGGACAAGAACGGAGAAATGCAGCAGAAGACGGGGACAAGAATGAAGAAGGGTGGCAGAGAGAGGGCTGGAGAAGCGGCAGAGGAAAGCTAAGGCCAATGGGGAAAGGGGCAGCGGAGAAAAGGGTTTAAACGTGGCCGCTTTGGGCAGCGAGGGGTTGCGGTCCCGGCTTTTCCCAGACCCTCAAGAGTGTGCCTCGTGGTTTTAGTGCCGCCACGGCTGGGCGGTGACAGAATATCAGACCTTTGAGAACATCTTCGATCAGATTTAAGGGTGAGACGGTATAGGCTGGTATTTAACTTTTCTATCTCATCGTTATCTTCCCCACTAGAGAAAAATGCTGGGATTTAACACTGGAAGTTTTCTTTTTCTTAGTTCTAATTTTGTTTTCTTTCTTATCTGTACTTTGAAGAGTTTCCTTTCTGGCCGTAAAACGGTGGTTTCCCTGGTGAGGGGGGTTTATCACGATTCCCCTTCATCCTCCTTATCTGCACTGTGAGTTGGGGGGGATGAAGAAGTGAGTCAGAGAGTGGAGGTGCAGAGGGAATGGTATTAGGAAGTATTTTCTGCTTTTTAGGCTTTTCCTTCATTTCCCCAACTAACTCACAGTCATCAAAGGAATTCGCGACAGCCTGTTGGAGGGTCTCCTCCCTGGCTTCCCCTTCTGTAATTGTAATAACCGCTTTCATTAAAGACCATGTACTCCAAGAGTCAGCAGGAATATCCTCTCTTGCCATCCGGGCCTCTTCTACATGTTTCTTGGCACGACCCCAGACTTCAGCTTCTAGTGTCCCTTCATCCCGAAACCAAGGGTTATATTTACCCATCCAGCTCCCTGTCTGTGGCCTGGGAAAGCAGTCGAGGACAGCCCAATGCTTTGGGATCCCGCACCCACGTGGGAGACCTGGAGGAGGTTCCTGGCTCCTGGCTATAAGGATTTATTCCAATATCCCACCCTGGACCCTGCGCCATTTCTTCTTCCTCACTGTTCACGGGATTCGCGCCAGTGCAGCCATCCACCAATTGGATGTAACCTGGCATTCCACCTGAGAATCCCACCCCCAATCTCCCAGCCCCTTCCCCAAACCCGCCCACTTGCCAATCATCCCCAGGCATTCACCTGCAGGCACCAATCCCCTGGGGCCTTGCCCTCAATCCCTCCCAATCCCCGCCCTCCCACACCTGG